TTCTTCCATTCACTTGCTTCCCTATAATAATCAAAAATGAATACATACTATGCCTGTAGCAGCCTTATTATGGAAATCATTAACTGAACTCATCTAGATGGCTAAGCATACTGAAAATAAAGATGAGACTGTTGGGCACCATAGTGGTAATGACATGACAGTAACTCTATGAAAACCCAAAGGCAGGTTTAAGCAGAGAGGATGTTAAGAAGCTGCCTGTTTTGGTGGTGAAATTTATCTTCTGTACACTGAATTTGAAATTTCTGCTGTGCAGGTGCCAGGGCTCCTGTGATGTCCTTGGCACGTGGGGTTGCTTGGACATGAAACCTCTGGACTGACTGCCTTCTCCAGCTTGTGCTGAGAGCAGATATTCCTTCCTCTCTGCTCAATGTTGCTGGCTCATGCATTTCTTCCAGCCTTTCTTTTTCTAGTTTTTCCCATTCCTCATGCTCCTTTCCTGTTTTGTTCAGGTCCTGTCTTGCCTCTGTTATCCTCAAATGCTGACGTTTTTGGATATTCTTCCATTAATGTGGCCACATGCACAGTTGTGTGCTTTCTCTGGGAAGGCCACTGCCCGCCTCACTGCACAGGATCAGTGTCATCACTTAATGAACTGAAATTCAATACTTTGTTTCATGAGACTTCCTCAGTATACCATGCGTTTCTCACCTTTTTGTCAACTCTTCAGATTTTGCTTTAACTATGGGCTTGTATCTATTTCTATGTAGTGCTCTTCAGCAAGGTATCTAGCTGCTTCCTAAACGATTTCTTTTTTGGACATGGCCATAAGGTGAAGTTACTGTTGTGCAGATTAGAAGCTGATGCATATACTTGTGAGGGTCAACTGTTTCCACTAGGTTTAGTGGCCACTTTCAGATGTTGTTTTCCTTTATCCAGCACCACCCTTTGGCTTGCAGGAATTCCCTGCTCCTCTGCTGTGTGTGCTCCAATTTTTGCAACAAGCAGGGCCATAGAGGTGGACCTGCTGAGCAAACAGCAATGGTAAAAGTGGTCCCTACCAAAATTAGCCCACAGTCCAGCCTCAAGAGTGGTAATAAGGCTATGGAGCAGCTTTAGCTCTCGTGCTTCCTGTCTTTCTTTTGCAGCGCTAGTGGGAGAGAGAGAATGAATGTGCTTTTTATAGTCTTCAGAAAGCAGAATGTAGGTCCTTGCACTTGGCCTTGTTAAACTTCATGAGGTTGGCATGGGCCCGCCTCTCAAGCCTGTCCAGGTTTGCATCCCTTGCTGGATAGCCTACCTTCCCTCCAGCGTGTCAATCGCACCACACAGCATGGTGTTGTCAGCACACTTGCTGAGGGTGCACTCGATCCCAGTGTCCATGTCACTTGCAAAGATGTTAAACGATCCCTGAGGAGCAGCACTTGCCCCTGCTCTTCGCTTGGACATTGAGCCATTGACCACAACTGTTTGAGTGTGACCATCCAGCCAATTTCTTATCCACCTGGTGATCCATCCATCGGATCCATTCCTCTCCAGTTTAGAGACAAGGATGTAGTGCGGGACAGTGTCAGACGCTTTGCTCAAGTCCAGGTAGATGACGTCAGTTGCTCTTCCCTTATCCACCAATGCTGAAACCCCATTGTAGAAGTCCACTGAATTTGTCAGGCATGATTTGCCCTTAGTGAAGCCATGTTGGCTTTCATGGATCACCTCCTTATTTTCCATGTGCCTTAGCATAGTTTCCACGAGAATCTGCTCCATGATCTTGCTGGAAGAGCAGATTCCCCTCAGGTGGTGCATGGTATTTAGTTTACTAAAGGTGAAAGTAGGTGAAAGTATGTTTCCTGCAGACAGAAAGTCCAGAGGATTTAGTTGCTAAGCTCTGAATCTGTGTTGAGCCTGTGTGGGCAGCAATTTTCACGTACTTACGGCTTGGCCAAATTTGAGGTGATTTTCTTAAAGGAGGAAGGACATACCACATTTCTGTTCCGAAAAAATAAAGGAGTGGTTAAAGACTCAGTTAAATAGTTGGGATTCTTTTTTATGTGAGTAGATTATTTTTCCCCCCTAATTTTGTCTTTGGAAATAGATGACTGTATATTTTTTTAAAACCTTCATACCAAAACTAGCAAGAAATTATATGCAGTTTTGTGCAGCCTGGTGATGTTGGGGTGACAAACAGTGATTGACAATAAGCTTAAGCAGAAAGTATCTGGATGTGTTGCCTGCTAGCATTACTGCTATGACCTACAATACTTGTGGAGTGGACCTTCAGTGCTGGCTCCATCTGATCAAAAATGCAAGAGTCAGTTGAATAGCAGACCTAATTGAAAACCAGTCCTGTATTAAACTTTTCGCAAAGAGTTAACTGGATTGGAAAGCCCAGTTGTCTGTTTTTCTGCATCTTAAAAAGGAATTAAAATCCTTCCAAAGGGAGTGTGACATACTGGGATAAAGTGGAGTGTTCTCATTTAGCAGAAGTGTACCTTGGTCAGGCAGTTTCCTTATTGTATTTGTGGAGGACACTAAGATGGTAGAGACTTGCTGGAAGGCAAGTCTGTACTTTAAGTAATCTAATAATAATGGAGGTTCAATCTGGAGGGGGGAAAAAGGTGAGATTTGGTAGAAAGAAGAATTGCATTTGGTCATGAAAAATCGGTGATGTAAGTGCACCCTAGGAAGTGACTGGGTCCTTTGCAGTTCAGCAGCATGAATCTAAGGATTATAGTGGATCACATGGTGAACATGAGTTAATAGTGTGAGTTTTGTGAAGAGTCCAAAATACTATTGTGAGATGTATGAGTAGAAGCATTGTCTGTGAGACACAGCAAGATTATCCTGTACTCAGCATTGGTGAGATCTTGATCTTAGCTGGGTCTATAAAGAGCAATGAGAATAGTCAAAATCTATAAAGCATGGCTTGCAAAGAAAGATTAAAGATGATGTTTTAATAACAAGGGGAGATTGTTGTGGTGTTTAAGTTAGATATTCAGGTGGGGGTAAGTGCTTCAAGTGAAACCTATTCAATCTCCTGGAAAGATGGTGGAGTTCCTGAGGCTGGAAATCTAGAAGATCAGGTCAGGCAAACATCTCACAGGAGGGACGTGGATGTAGCTGATCCTGCCTGAAGTTCAGGGTAAAGAGCCAGATGATGCCTTGTGCCTTTCAGGCTTTACAGCTCCCTGATGTCCAGGTGTCTTCCCAAAGTGCAAGGCAATGGGAATATAAGCTCTGAGCCTCTATGTTTTTGTAGACCTGACTAATCCCATGTGGTTGAGTGTTCATGAGGGTTTGCTCTCGCAGAGTTCCCGGCAGCTCTGCAGCCAGACATGTTTGGTTTGAGTGGATGTAATGCAAAGTTACTCTAGCCTGGAGGGTCCAGTGGGAAACTGTCTGGAGCAGGTGAGTGTCAGGGACAGTATGGCCCTTGGAGTGGAGGAGGTGGGACAGGAGATTAAAAAGCAATTGGTGTGAGGGGGGAGGTCAGAAAAGGTGCTAGGAGAACTCCTTTTCAGTTATGGGCATAGAATTATAGAATAGTTTGTGTTGGAAGGGACTTTTAAAGGTAATCTAGTCTAACCCCCCTGCAGTGAGCAGGGACATCTCTAACTAGCTCAGATTGCGCAGAGCCCTGTCAAACTTGACCTTGTCCATTTCAAGCATTAGAGAGGACCAATGTGTAAATCGTATTCAGAGGTGGGAGCAATCTAGCAGTTTGTTCCTCTCTTAAACCTAAAGAGTGGAAGAGTGGTCTTAGCCACAGGTGCTGTTTGCTGTCTCCTTTAAGCAGCACTTCTGTTTATATACCCTGTCTGGGAAAGCCCAAATCTTTCAACCTTAAGGTTTCCAAAACATGTAGCAGCTGGCCAGCCCTGGTTGAAGGTGAAGGTCAGAGTTGTTCCTGAACCCTCTCCCTATTGGAGGAGTGGTGGCAAAGACTCCTGTGGGAAAGGCTGCTGAGTCTACCACAGAGCACGCGGCTACCAGTGAGGCAGAGGAAAGCCTCCACGCTGTAAAAATAGCTGCACTAGGCACCCTAACATACTTAAGTGCTTATTTTTCCATGTGTGATCTCATGCAAACCAAGCTGCTGGGCAGTATGACATAGCAGTTGGCCAAAAATAAGATGTAACTCAATCAAGACTTTTTTAAGTTAACCTTTGATGGGTGGAAGGGAAAGGTACCCTGTTTTCTCATTTGCATTAAGTTATTGTTAGAAAAAAAAAAATCTCAGGGAGGAAAGACAGGTGAAGATGGGATTGAGACTTGCTGTCCATTTGGTGATGATGGCCACAGGTTAAGGATAGGAATTGGAGTTGTCTTGCACAGGAAAGTTATGCCTGTAATACAGTGAGAAAATGTACACAAGGGATTTCTCTGGGTGCTTCTCCAGTTGATTTCATTGAACTGAGTTTTGGTGGACATTTGATGCTGCATAAAAGGCATAGACATGATAGCATTTGAAGCTGAAGCCCATGAAGGAGACCCAGTACCAACAGCCTTGGAGCAAGGCACGCTAATCTCTGTTTAAGCCTCAGAAAAATGTCTTTAAAGGCCTTTAGCGGTTCCTTTTCCTTCACTGTTTGATGTGTGGCTTGTTAGGTGATTTTATTTTTATATTTTCTTTGGCAGTTGTGGTAGGTCTCTGTTGCGGAAGATGGGCTGAAACCCTTTGACAAAAGCCATTGAATGCCTGGAAATGCTGGTACTTTTACCACTGTCCTGCCCGGGCTAGAATTACACTCTTCAGGAGGAAAAGCATCTTACAAATCCATTGCTGGTGAAGAAAGAGCCAGAGCTAAGGACTAGAGTTGCTTTCCTCTAGCCTTGAAAATGGTGAAAAACTTTTGTAATCCTGAATTTCACATGCAAAATTATTGATAAAACCAGGCAAATTTGTGAGATTCTTTTGTGGTTTTTTTTTCCTAGCTATTAACATGACTTATACTGACTTCAGGTTTTCTTTTTTCTGCAACAGCAAAAGCCAGGGGAGAAAATCCCAGGCATCACAGTCTTGTCATTACACTTCTCCTCTGCAGGGCCTCTGACCTGTTTCTGCTGGACACGCGGGCGGTGTGGGCCTCAGAGGAGGGCTGGCTGGAGTTTGACGTCACTGCCACCAGTAACATGTGGGTGATGAACCCTCAGCACAACATGGGACTGCAGCTGAGCGTGGTGACCCGGGATGGTAGGTTACAGGCCAGTTAACGCAAATCACCTTGTGAGCCTCTTGGGTGCTGTCTAAAAATGGTGCTAACAGAGTCCAGTGGTGATGTGCTCACCCTGTCTTTGTCGATAGATGTAGCCAACACCATGAGCAAGCCTCTGAGGGCATGGATTGAGGGATGTCTGTTCTTGGCTGTCCCATGATGGGCATGTCTTTCGCTATGAGTGAGGACGAGAGACTCTGACCAGTATGAGGATGAGCTGGTGGAGGCAGGTTTGGGTAGGGTCTCGGTTCCTGAGTTGCAGGTGGAAGGGGGCATGATGCTGGGATCACAGGTGAGGTGAGGTTTAGGGGTGAGAGGAAGAGGACAGGTGTATAGGTATGTGTCTCCCCATGTGGGCTTATGTCAGCCCTCCTGGCTGCTGCAGCTGCCATGGCTCCCTGAATCTCATCAAACCTGAGGTGAGAGCCCTGTGCTGAAGAAGCGATGCAGTCGCTGTGTGAGGCTGTTCCCTCTGCAATGATAGCATTTCACAGCTCACAGAAACTTTGAAAGGTGGAAGAGGAGAGGAGACTGCAAGAGCATGAAATTGAGCGTTGGGGGAAGGAGAGGATCTAAATGAGCAAAAAGTGACCAAAAAGATGGCAATGACATCTGTCCTCTATAGGAGCCCATCTCCAACCTTACGTTTTCTTCCTATAGCTTCATGCTGGGATTTGGTATGCTTGTGGAGTCAAGGGACGCCAGAGGGGCTATCCGCTGCTCTCCCTGAGAGGAGAGCTCATCCCTGTGCTCCTGACAAAAGCACCTCATCTTTTTGCCCTCTGTTTTCCCTAGAGGTCTCCTAATCCCGTCTCTGCTTCTTGTGTTTTGTGGGCAGCAGAATTGACTTCATGACACATCTGGGCTTTGTGTTTTATGTATTTATCTGTATAGCTCTTCAGTGCCTAAACAGGAGTAGAGATGTCATAGAGGTACTGAAGAGCCAGATGCTGCAGTGGAGCCTCTTGTTCAGGATGGATGGGGTGCCATCATAAAAAAGTCCATAGGTCATGGTGGCAGGAGGGGAATGTTTAGTGATAAAAGGAGTATAAGCAAGAAGAAATGAAACACTGCTTATGGGGATGCTGCGATGCTGGAATTAGCAATCCAACAGCACAGTTTCTCTAACACTCGCTTTTCTGTTTGGTTTGAAGGTTTCAGCATAAATCCTAGAGAAGCAGGCCTTATAGGCCGAGATGGCCCTTATGACAAACAGCCTTTCATGGTGGCCTTCTTCAAAGTGAGCGAAGTCCACGTCCGGACCACTAGATCAGCCACAAGCAGGCGCAGGCAGCAGAGTCGAAACCGCTCCACGCAGGCTCAGGATGTTTCCAGGGTGTCCAGTGTCACAGGTAATCATGCAACACCCATCTGGTTGGGAGCTGGGACGACTTCTTGTGGTGTTTCTATTGCTTTGGTGTACAAAATCAAGAAGGCGGTTGTGAGGTGGGATGCCCTTCTTTAGGGGAACAGCGTACACCTGCAAGGGGATGGAAGAGGGAGTCTCACATAATGAGACTTACAGGAGTTTCTGTGAATCCAAGGTGGTCCAGACCCTCATGTGAAGTTGTGATCACTGAATTCAGGGGGGTGAGGTATTTTAACCCCAGATTTTGTGTTTGTAGGTCACTTGGTATGGAGTAATTGCCTAGAATTATGCCATGTGAAATGCAGTATTTAAAAGATTCCAGCTTGGTGTACAATGAGATTTGTGGTATTGCACATACTCATTTTCCACAGAGTCTTCTTTCAGTGTTCTTTGGAAAAATCCTGGTAGAACAGCACGAGAGCTTTTTATTTTCCTTGTGAGTACAGCAGTGAAGTGTGTTTCCAGGCAGGCAAGGAGGTTTGCCTGTTTGCTGTGGAAAGGTTGCACGTTGCAGGTGTTGTGCAGCAGCCCTGCGAATGCTGTAGTGGGCTTATGGGACAATAACTCTTGAAATTTTGACAAAAATTGAGAGTGTCCCATCTTTGAAGTCTTGTCTCTTTTCCAGCAACTCTTCTGTGCATCGCAGTGCTACACACACTTCATTCATTGAGTATCTTATTTCCTCACAAACATTGCAGCCCGTTCCAAGTTACTTGATTAATTTGCTTATGCTGCCCCCTTCATTTCCAGTAGGATCCTTGCTTTGCCCGTGTCCAGAAATGACTATACCCCAAGGAAGAGACATGGCTGTGGTTTTTAGTCTGTTTCTGTGTCCAGACACAGTGCAGGGAGATGAGCCTGCATTGCCAAAACTTAGCTGGTGTGAATCCAGCTGTGCCCTGCTTTTGCATGCTTGGGTTGTGTGTGAGCTGTGCTGCACCTGAGGTGGCCCCATGCTGGCCATGATGCTGGGAACCTCCAGGGAGCCAGAGTCAGGTTGAGAGCCCCAGCAGGGCTGGCAGCCAGGCTTCGGGCATGGTGATGTGCTGATGCAGCCCTATTGCTCCAGCCCAGCATGGACTTGCCCTGTGGGCTAGTGAGTGCCAGCAGCAGTTGGCCACTTGCAGCCATTGCGTGTCCTTGTGCTGCAGCGTGGCTGTGGGTTCCCATGCCATGCCGTGCAAGTGTCAGACTTGGTTGGGTGTGAAATGTTGATGCACAGATTTTAAGGGCAGGAGGAGTGATCTGATCCTGAAGCTTGACACTCCCTGAGGGAGGCCAACCAGTGCCAGCATGGCACTGCCAGAGGACTTCTCATCGAACACGGCATGAGAGCCCTCTGCCAGGCCCACAGGTGAAGCCCTCTATCAGTACAAATTGCTGGGTCTGCTTTGGTCCTGGTTTTCCTTGGGTGTCTACAAACTACGGTTTTAAAAGCAGGCATCACGGCTGCTCGCTGGGTTGCGTTCCCATGTGATGCGCTTGCCAAGGGCATGGGTAGTGTATTTGTCTGGGCATTATAAGCAATAAGCCCATCCATTACGTAGGTGACGTGCAGTTCTCCCACTCAGGTGGACTTGGTTGCTGTGCTCCCTTCATGATGAAAACTTCTATTTTAATGGGTTCGTAGTGCTTTGGGAAAGTTACTTGCTGCGTTGCTGCTTTGTGGCACTGGTAGTGGAGTACAGGATAGGCTCCAACTTTCTCTCCCTAGCTCCACAAGCTTTGCAGTGCTAAAAACAAATTCTCACTACTATTAAATCAGGCCGTGTGACTCAAAGCTCCAGAGGGAGCAGATATATTGGGCAAAAAGGTCCATTTTTATATCACTGCTTTCGTGACTACACCACACATCAGGTCGTAAAATTATAAAATGACAAAAAGGGAAAAATAGCTGGTCATTCTGTGGTCTCAAGGGCTTTTTTGAGCTCTTCTAGCTCAAAGACAGCTTTAATTTAAAACCTGGAATTTGGCAGTTCAGTAGTCAACAAGGTATAGTGGAGCCTCTGTGGATTTAAGGCGGGGGAAAGGAGGGGAATTTAAAGTGAAGATGTATGTTTGGTTGGTTTCTGTGTTTAGAAAAGAGAGACTGCATCAGCTTATTTTCCTTTCTAAGTGTAACACTCTTAGACTCTGTTCTCCTTAAGAAGTGGTTGATTTAATAGTCCAAGAGGCACCAATGACCAATACGTGCTTTTAGCATTAAAGAGATCACAGGGATTTTTTCTTTTTTTAGTTTTGTAGGTTCCTACATCCATGCCCTGATCATGCATGGTGGGGCTAGAGAAGTGTTTGCCTCAGGATGAAGCTGGAGGTGAGCCCATGAGTTATCCTGAAGGCTTCATTGCTCTTCTGAGGGTGCTGTGGTGCATCTGGGCCCAAAGCGAGCGCAGAATGGGGATGCTGTGATCCCCTCCTGTGCATCTTCCTCTCTCACTGTATCTTGTGTCTTGTCAGATTTTTGGTCTGTGCTCTTCCCCAAGCCACGTTTGCTGCTGTCAGTCAGGGCTCAAGGGCAGTTTCTCTCCTGGAGAGCAAGGCAGCTGGCTGGTGTTGATGTTTTTCTGTGGACTGAACCTTTCTTCCTCTATGTTAGTGAATACACAGGGTTTTCTTTCTCCAGTCCAAAAATGAACCCCCTTCCCAAAGGATGCTGTGAGTTGGGTTGGGGCAGTGTGTTTTAAAAAGCCCCATTTACTATCTAAATATGGAAAGCATTTCAAGTCCCACAGTTCAGAGCACGTGAGGTGTGCTGCTGGGCTGGTACTGGATCTGGTGAGCCGTGGGGTTACGTGAAGGCATGCTGCTACGTGCAGGACTGGGACCCCGCTGTGCTCCCTTTGATGTGCAGTTGTCCTGCAGTCAGTAGCAAGTGCCCAGATGCCAAGGTTATGGCTGTGGCGTAAGAACCTCAATGGTCTGTATTTTTTCGCCAAGAATGCTCATTTCTCTGCATTATAAGCACGTAATGATGACTGGCTTATATAAAGCAGAACTGAGCAACCCCCATGGTTACAAACTGCTTTGACATAGAGTTCTGCGTCAATGCATTCCTGGAGCCAAGCTCTGTTCTTCTGCAGGAGAAGGACGAACAGGAAGAAAAGGAAGTAATTTTTTCCATTGAGGCAGAAAATAATTCACCAGCTTTGGCCCAGGACATGGAGGAACGCGGTGGGTGGATGGCAGGAGCGTGCGGGTGTTTCTCTGCTATTGTCTGCAAAATCTGGAGGCCCTCTGGAGACCCAAGTCTTGTGGTGTGTTTGCTCGTGCTCTTGGGCTCCAGGCTGACCCTCGAGTTACTCTGGAGAGATGGGGACTCTCTTCACTATCACAGACAGTGACTCTCAAGCCTAAGGACTAAGCTGCAGTACAGCTACCTCCTACGTGAGTTGTTTTCTGTACGGGGCTGTCTCCTTGTCCGGTGGTGATAACACTGCTCTTCTGCCAGCCAGCCTTCAGGTCTTTTCACCACCATTCCCATCAGCCCTTCCGTATGGAGAGAGTCATGTTTAAATCTCAGAATCACAGCATGGTAGGGGTTGGAAGGCACCTCTGGACATCATCTCATCCAACCTCTTTGCCAAAGAAGGTTCACCTATAGCAAGTTGCACAGCATAGCATCCAGGCCGGTTTTGAATATCTCTAGAGAAGGAGACTCTGACTCTCTTCTGACTTCAGGGTGTACTTGCTGCTCTGAGTGAAAACTCATGCAAGATCCCTTTTCGAGTCCTCATTAGCCACCCCGTGACCTCTGGGACTGGTGTGAGCCACTCCATGAGAAACGGAGGGGCCCTCCAAGTGGCCTTTCCTTCCAGCAGACATGCACGGCACCAGGCAGATTTCCCCACATTTTCAGGAACTAAAGACCGCAAAGGGCAGCACGCACAAACACTGAAGGCAAATAAGGCCAAGTGCTTTAGTGGTGGCAAGGGTCTTGTTAACAAACATCGTTATCTCACAGCCAATCTTCCCTTTAGTGGAGGGCTCAGATGCAGACCAGAGCGGTGTGGCCGGTGTTCCTGTGTGTGCCTTCACACGCAGGTCTACATCAGCCCGGCATCTCCCCTTCTTCCCACCCAAGCAGATCGCTTTCATGTGCAGTGGGATGTTATTAACTGCGTGATCAGTTTACACCAGCTTTATCTGGACGAATCACCAAAGTCAAACACCAAGAAGAAGAGGCCTTGGAGACCTCTGTCAAAGCTATTTTGGACCACAGAAGCAATTAATTACCTTGTGGAATTTGGTAAGCTGGCACCTTGGGAGCAGCAAGGGTGTTCCCAGACGGATCGACCTCAGTAAATGTTTATATATTCTTTGCCAGCACTTAACGTGGGAGAGCTTATAGGAAATCTAAGGTGGGTGCCTAAGTATCTGTAGGAGGAAGACCACTAGGGTCAGGTTATTCTCTCTCCCCTTTCAGCAACACACATGCCAGTGTCCAGCCTTAAGAGAAACATCTGTGCTTGCAGAAAGTCAGGCTTGTGTGCTGGTGAAGGCAGACAGCATTCAGTGCAAACAAGCCACAGAGACAAGCTGCCTGAACTGGGCTGCTCTGGAAGTTATTTTTAAGTGCAGAACTAGGGGTTTGGGTTGTTTTTTTAAAAAAAAAATATCTCTGTTTTAGGCAAAATAGTTTGCAGGGTGATTTAATGCAGTGCCTTGTAAATGCCAAGCTAGTGTTTCTGAATTGGCAAATGGGGGGGGGGGGAGAGACAATTTTGCTAAACCCACAGTGAGCCTATAGGAGCTTGCAAAGCAGCTCCCTAAACTCGCAGACATTTCGAAGGTCTCTGACAAGCAACCCTTGCAAATGATGTCATGGCAGCATAAGCCGGCCCCACAGTGGTTGCTTGCAGCATCCCCCCACTGCAGGCCACGTCCTCTGGGCCTTCCTGACTCCCTGGGGAAGGACTGGCAGGGAGGGACACGTCCCCTGTCGCCTCTTGGCAGCTGGATCTTGCACTCTGAACCACCTCAAATAGCAGTTTGGGCTGGGCTGGGGGAGCTGATCCTGCTTTCCAGGCTTTGGGGAAAATGTGTTGTGGAGGCCAACTGAAGTAGCGAGCTTTAGCTTTAGCTGACTACTCTGTACTGCGTGGATTCCTCTTTTTTTCGGGACCTTGAATTGAATGTATGTGGCTCTAGGGCATAGGCTGATCCCCAGACTGTAGGGAATGGATCATTATTCTGTGCATCTGTGTTGCTGCATTTTTTCCCCAATTCAGAAAGTTGCTGCTAAGGATTGATAAAAGGTTTGTGAAATCCCTAAAGTTGCACTAAAGTAGATTCTGTAAGTAGACATGGTAGGCAAACGTGTGACAAGAGAGAGGGCAGGGGAACTTGGTGTGAGGGTTAACAGGGGAGAGTGCAAATCCTGGGAGAAGGGATGTTTAATAATGTTGACATTTAATAAAGCAAAGGCCAAGTTGGACACGTGAGAAGGCAGAGCTGTCTCCATCTGCCTTGGATGGAGAGTAGCCGGTGCTCGATGCGGTGTGAGTCGGGTGACCCAACTGCCAAGCAGTGAACCAGGGCGCATTTTGGGGGCCCAGTTTCAGGCAGTGTGAGAAAAGACACGTTCATAACATGTTCTGCTTCGTGTAGCTTGTTAAGCAGCTCTTTTTGTCCTTTGTTTTCTTAAACCTACGATTGCTCACAGCCTTCCTTCCCACACGTTTTCTCTGCCTCCCTTGCCTTCTCCCCTTTCCCATAGCTGATTCAGGTAAGTCGTAGTGTCATTCTGCCCACTCGCTTGTGGATGGATCAACGCCACTGTCACATACAGATGGTTTTCCCCTAAGCAAGCAACGTATTTCCCATTGAGGAACAATGAAGTCATATTTTCAGGTACTTAAATGAAAACCTTTGACAGCTAAAAGTATCTTCTGCTATTTTTTTTTCCTCCCTTGCTATGAGCAGATCATTTAGAAACATCTCATGCTAGAAACTTGCTCCTGGGCTGAGCCAGGGACTGAAAAGCTTCATCTGAAAAAACCCACCACACCCTGGTTTCTACTGGCTATGTCTGGTTTGGAAATGGAAAGCTTGAATAGAGAAACTCTCCTCTGGCCTTGCTACTGAGTGCTCCTGAGAGCGAATATTTATGCTGCAGCAGACTGTTAACCAGCCCTACTCACCTGATTAAATCCGTGATTGAAGCGAAGTTATTGAAAGCCTGAAATGCAATCCCTAAAGTTTAAAACCCGAACTGCTTCTAAAAACAACTCTCTAATCTTTGGCGGTTTGGAGGCTAGGGTTGAGGTGTAGGGTTTTTTTCAGACCTCAGTGTTAACTGTACCCAGCTGTAATGCTGTGCTGCCCTTAATGTCAGTTGGATGTGCTTTTAGTATTATAGTTTTTCTTTTGAATAAATATTTGCATTTGTAGTTCCCAAACTTCGAGGAGGGGTGGAGGAGGGAAGAAAAAGAAAGGCTTATTCAGAGCCAAGGAAAAAGTCACTAAAAATATTTTGCTATCCCAGCTGCAGCGTTAGGGGGAAGCTACACTGGGAGGGTGCCCTTTCAAGCCACGTTAGGGATGCTGGAGGGGCGAGTTAGCCGAAAGGCCCAGGGCAGCAGGAAGGCAGGCGCATCAGTGTGGGGCATCTGCTCACTGACGGAAGTGCCTGTCCTTGCAAATGAGGCGTGCGGGAGGAGCCGAGGCCCCTGTGGGTAAGGCACCAGAGGAAAACACAGCGAGCCTGGGTCCAGCTCCAGGACAAGCGGCCACATGTCACTGCATGGATGGGGACCTGGGCTCCCACGCTGCTCAGCCAAATTTGCCACCATCTCTTCCTCTCGAGCTTCCTGTTCAGGCACGAAGGGCGGTTTCGAGCTGCCCCACTGCAAGGGGTTGTTGCTGGGCCTGCCACAGTGAGGTCTGGCAGCGCCCGAGGCGTGACGAGATCGGCCATGGCCCACTGAGGCTGGGATTGTGCAGCCACCTGGGGGTGAAAGGCCCCTCTGTCACGGCTCGGCTCCTCCGCTCACTGCGGTTCCAGGTGTTCGCATGTGGAGCTGCCTTTCTTTCCAAATACAAATGGGAAATTCCACTCGCTGTCAAAAGCTGCATTTTGTAGGGCCATTGGGAGCAGCTCCTGCGTGGTCAAAACATCCTCATATCTTGCTTCATGGCAAGGGGGAAGGTCTCTGGTCAGGCTTTTGCACCCTGTGCCCTGGCTCTTCTGTGCAGTACTGGCACTAAGGAGTAAGTTCAGGTTGAGAGTGTCAGATGCTGTGTCATCTGCAGATAAGCGGGTTATGGGAAGGAGAAACTTGTTTTTCAGAGCATGGCTTGTAAAGGTCCAAGAACAGAGGTGGTGTGTGGAGCCATATGTGATGTCTGGGGCAGGCTGTGGGTAAGGCACAGAGAGGGACAGGGACTTGGCTTTGCTGCCAATGGGACATCTTAGCCATTTAAGGACTTCTGCTAACCAGTACAGGGCCACAAGGCGATGATTAAGCTTCTGGGGGCTGTCATTCTCTTGGTAAGTGCATACGTTTTGAGCTTACCACCTAGGGTGGCACATGTTGGAAACCCTGACTGAGGAAGCGGGGTGAGTTTAAGCACCCAGCAGGGATGTAGCCTGTGCCAGGCTGAAGGAGCAGAGATTTATTTTTAAGATCATTTTGCCAGAGGTGTTTTATGAGCATTGCTTGTCAAGTTATTAAAGGCAACTGTAAAGAATTATAACCAAGTCACTGTTACATGGGTGCCTCCATTCCCACAGGCATCTTAAAAGCTTCAGCCCTGCTTTGGATGTCCCTCAGCACCCATCTACTTGTGGCTGCTGAGGGAGCTCATCATTTCTCACTGTTGAGCCCGCAGTGTGCATACATCTGGCCAGCTGTGCCCTCCAGTGATGCTCTGCCTGTTTTACTTTCTAAACTCCTGTTTTGTTCTTTTTCTTTTAACAGATTACAACAGCAGCGATTTAAAAACAGCTTGCAGAAAGCATGAGCTTTACGTTAGCTTCCAAGACTTGGGATGGCAGGTGTGTGATGTTTCTCTCTGGGTAAACTAGACATTTTGTTATGAAATGTTATCTAAACAGTGTCACGGTAATTCCACTCGAGGCTGCCATTATGCTTTAAAATGTCCCTTGTGCCTCCTCACTAAAACCAATCACAGGGAAGGGCAAATAAATATTGATAGTTGTGACATTTGATAAGATCCAGAGGAAGCTTGATACTTTATGAGATGTGAGTACACAGTCATTCTGTGTCACTCATGGGAGTCACGGTACGGGCAAAGGCTCCTATCTGTGTACCTCTAATGATAAGGACAAAAGAGCTGATGTTAAGCACTGATTTTAACTGAATCACATTTTTTTCTAGTGATTAGCCTAATTTTAACTGTTGAAATTCTCCACCCCTGCCCTGCAATTAGCACTGGTTGTAGTGGGTGGACTGAAGCCTGGGTTTAGTTGCAACACTGTGAGGCCAGAGAGTTGTTTAGAGTAAGTTATATAGGGCCAGGCCATAGTGTATTAAAACATCATGTTTCAACAAATGCTCACATCTTCTCTTTTTTAAAAAAAATATTCTTTCATTAAGCACTTTTGTGAGGGAGGTCCCATTTCTGTCAACTAATGTTTTTACCAGATTATAATTCAGGATGCTGAGGCTGCCCCTGCTGCTTCTGTAATACCCTACACATGAAAGTCCTCTCCCAGCTAATTGAACAGCAGCATTTTTTTGTAGCTTATGTCAACCCCATCCCACTAGCTGTAACTGTGGCTGTATGCTGACTCTGTTCCCCATTACTTGTTAGTGGCTTTTTTAACTTGGGCACAGCCTTTCCCCCTCCTCCTTAGCTCACTTGCCCTGCTTCCAGCCAGGAAGCAGATTCCAGTTGTGAAGTTCATGGTCTCAAAGGTTCTGCCTTCACCTTTCTAGTTGCAGACTTGAGCAGACAGGTAAGATGCTGCCAAAGGAAGGCCACAGACCACAGAATCACAGAATCTTAGGAGCTGGAAGGGACCTCGAAAGATCATCCAGTCCAAACCCCCTGCCAGAGCAGGATCACGTAGACTAGGTTGCAGAGGAACGCGTCCAGGCAGGTTTTGAATGTCTCCAGAGGAGACCAGCAGGGCTCTTTGCAAGGGTTGGGATCCAGATCCTACTTGTGGTAGGGAGATGTTGGAGGCAAAGCAGCAGCCTGTTGCGGTTGCTTTTTATTAGCCGAATGGTGAAGAGTGACCTTCTTCCACAGCACAGCACTCAGATTACCATCGGGCCACCTGCTTGCACATGCAGCTCCAGCCGGCTGTCTTACCTCTCCTTTAGGAGCCTGGCAGAGGCAGAAAAGCTGTTATGCAGCCAAAACTTCCTGCAGTGGCCTAGCAGACTAGCATCCCTCCAAGAGTAGGTAACATAGAGTGTCTACAAGGCGCCCCACCAGTGCATTATAGTCCGGTTCTGGAGCTCCCTGGTTGAATTGTGCAAATGCACACACACACACATGCATGTACATAGTTTTTGTTGGAAGGGGACACCAGCAGAGGCTGTGATTCAGCTCATGAAAGGTAGGTCAGCCAAAGGGCCTAACCTGCAGGAAGCGTTGGAACATAAAGGCATGCAAACCACAGTGCCATCAAGGCAACCCAGCAACAGTTTTAGGAATAAACCACTTTTTGTTTGTGACAGTAAAGCTGTGTATAGACATGCACCACTCTTTGGACATTAAAATCAGTGTGTCCATGGAGAAGTCATGGCTCACCAAACAAACAAACAAACAAAAACCAAAATGACCAAACCCCTAGCAGTTTCAGTGAAAACACATTTTTACCCTCAAGAAAGTTAGTGGAAAATTTTCAGCTGCTCTTAATTGCATGCAGTTGTCTGTGCAAGCTGGCAACTTCTTAATGTGAATCACGTTCTGTTTGTTTCCTAAAAAGGACTGGATAATAGCTCCAAAGGGCTATGCAGCCAACTACTGTGATGGGGAGTGCTCCTTTCCACTCAACGCCCACATGAACGCAACCAATCATGCCATTGTACAGACTCTGGTAAGTAAGTCTGCAGAGAGCACCATGCCAAAGCAATAGGTGATTTGAGAAACAAATTACCATTGTCTCAGTTGTGTTTTCTATTTTGGCAACAGGTTCATCTTATGAATCCCGATTATGTTCCCAAACCATGCTGTGCACCTACCAAACTAAATGCCATATCTGTTCTTTATTTTGATGATAATTCTAACGTAATCTTGAAGAAATACAGGAATATGGTAGTAAGAGCTTGTGGATGTCACTGACAGTCGGTCTTCTTCACATGGACTCTGCAACTCTACCATGAACTTCCATCCCACCTTCCATGCTTTCATGAACTACCCGACCTTGGAGAAAAAAAAAAAATGGATGAACCACCTTTCAGAACACCATGATGTGCCTTGTGTGAGGAAGGGGTGTGGGGACTGCATGCTGGGGTGCAGGCAAGCTTCTGGACTTCTTACGGACTGACCCAGCGCCGCAGTGGCAGCTCAGCTGTGCAGAGCTGGGGTGCACAAAGCAGCAGTGTGCCCACACTCACTTTATTTGGCTGGGATGGTCTTAATCTCACACCGCAGCTTTGCCTTAGCTTGCCTGGATGTGTGCTGCAGTTTTACCAGATGGGCATCCAACACAGAACAAGTGAGGTTGTTTTTTTGGGGGGAAGACAAGGGGAATAGATAGGGAAGCTAGAGTAAAGAAAGTAGTGTTAGTACTTCAGCATACATCTTGTACAAGATAATATGAAATTCCTTTTGTCTAGAAGGACCCATTACTATCCCTTGACTGATGGTCTCCTCCTGAAATCTGTCAGGACAGAAAGCATCTTAAATTGTGCCAAAGCAAATGTTTCGGTTCTTTTACTCTCCAAGCACAGTTTAAGTCTGATGCTACAAGCGTAAGATGGCTTGGCTGCACCGTGGGTGAGAAACACCAGCGTGAACTCAGACCCTGGCTGCTCTTCCCAGTTCAGTATTTGACTGAGCAACGCAACTTTATATGCTTGTTCTTACGCAACTTCCTTCCACTCCCCATGTGGAGCTGCCTCTTCTACCACCACTTGCCCAGGAAGGAAGCTGGGACACTTCTACAGCTGTAATTCAGACGTAAGAGTTTAGGGGCCATTCGTTCTCTAGCTGGACAATTTATTTACAGGAAGACAGAAAGTCAGTAACATATGCAAGTATTTGGCCAACCTTTCCTCTTCAACTCACGCAACTAACAAACTGGTATAAAGGATACATTCATAGTGTAGCCACAGTTTGTCTAGCAGAAGCTAATAGCAAATTGTTTTGATCAATATTAAACTTGTATTAAATGCACTTACCTCTCATTCTTGCATTTAAATGGCTTCTTGTAAATACAAGCTATAATTTATTGCACTTGTCACTGTATATTCATCTTGCTGTATCATTTATAGAAAGACTGCTTTTTAAAAAAGTTTTTATTTAGAAAAACCTCAGTGTAAACAATTGTACCACTTTGATTTTATACAAGAAACTCATGAGATTGTGCTTCACTAGAAAGTCGATAAAAACATGATAATAAAGGCTTCCTTTAAGGCAGAAGTATATACATTGATCTAATACATCTGCCAGTACAACACTTAGCTTTCACTGTGTCTTGTTTTTCACCCTTACACATTTTTAGATTGAACAGAATAAAAAGTTCTGGACAGACAGTGAAGTACCAGGAGAAATTCACCGATTTAAAAGTTAATTTCTGTTTTGCCTTTAAAACCCAACCTACTCCATATGATGGACAAAAATCAGCACCTTGACAGTGAGTCAAATTAGCCTGTAGTCATCCTCATTCCATGAGTTTCTGTGCACACGAGACCACAGAATTCAGTTCTTGGTTTGCTGTTGTCATTGTATCATGACAGTCTCTGCAGTGTAAACTCTTTGGCTTTCAATTCTGTCTAACGTGGAACATCTTATGCACCAAAGAACAGATCCGTATTATAATCCACGGCACCACACAGTGCCTGGTCCTAGCATTCAAACTTATCAGTGCTTACAGCCTGGAAAAAGGTTAAGGCTCAAGAAGAGTGGGGAACTATTTTACACTACTGCAGAACAGCTGAATGGAAAAACCCAAACAAACAAAACCAAAACATTGTTCTACCTCTGAGCATTCTGAATAAGGAGCTGGTCAGGACAAGGTCTGGAGTCAGGTGAAGGGAGGAAATGCAGGTCCTCAGCTCTCGAGTTTTACTGATCATGTCATATTAAAGGTGCAGTTCTAATAGCGTCTGTTTGCTCTGGCCCTATAGAAGTAGAGCGTAGTTTCTCCTCTGGAGCTGGACAGAAGCAGCTGATGAAAATCCACTTGACACATGTATGCTGTGGCATCAGTAATGCTCAGGCATGTGTTACAGTACCATCACTTCCATTATAGCTAGACCTCCCACGCTGAGAGGATTAACAGGAAACAACCAGCTCACGGTGGCCTGGTATCTTCCAAAGGTGTGTGTGTTTCCAACCTCACGTGACTTTCCATTTCTTAACCAGCAGCTATATTAAGACAAACGGGCTTAAGTACAGTTGTGGAGGCAAAAATTACTCAACACAGCTGCAGCTTTTACCTTTCTAGTAATAGTGGGCAGTTTGTAAGGATTACTTTTTAACCAAATCTAATCTGAAGACAAAAATATTCTACTGGTGCCCTTACATTGGTTTTCTTAATGTATTTTAGTCTCAAAGGAAACCATTTACACTTCATTGCGGGAAGGCAGAAATGCGGTAATACTACCAGTGCTGAAAATATTCTCAGTTTGCACAGTAACTACTTGTTAGATTTCCTTCATACACACAGGGTAGCACTTCTTTAACACACACACAGAGGGAAGATACCAACATTTAGTACATTCAATTTCCTAAAACCAACCAAACAAAAAAGCCCCCCCTCCCCCAGCCCCAAATACACTATTTGAAAATTAGCAATGTTTGAAATCCCTCAGCTACTGTACAAAGACAGCCAGGGATGCAGCATCCAGACTTTTATTACAATTCATCCCTTGCCTGACGCAAGACAAAGCTATGCAGTGATTCCAGGTCTCTCGTTCCGTTGTGTTCACTGACTTTCTTGCCACCTCGGAAAAGCAGAAGTGTGGGATAACCACGTACCTTCAAAAGAGACGCACAGACAAAGAAGAAACTTGTTACTAATGTCCAAACTCACTGGTACCCTTCACCTGACACTGAAAGGCCACCAAACCCCTCTTAAAACTGTAAAAGCCATTTTAATTTAAAATCCAAACCCAAACACCATACAAGAATTTCCAATGCCAACCTGGCATTTCTGAACATTTGTAAGTGGATACATGTTCCTCTAGGCCCTTGGAGCGGCAGCTCCAGCTCTGTCTTTGGTAGTCTGTAAAAAACCTTTTTTTTTTTTTTTTTTTTTTTAAATTTCTCTTAGGAACTGATCTTTGCATCAGCTACACAAGACAGCTTTGGTGCTTTCACAGAGGGAGGCTGCTTAAATTAGGGACTTCTTCAGCTCTATCCAATAATGAGAATGACTGAGCCTGAACAGTCTGGCAAAGAAATGGTGTCACCAGGTGCTGCTCTGAACAACCTCTTTTTTGGCTAATGGAGAACACAGCTGCACTGTCACCAGGCGCCCGCAATGCAGCAGGCGGCTCAGCTGCACGCCGGAGCCTCCAGCATTTGGTACACAATACCGTCCCGTCCATTTCAGATCTTTCACACTTACAGAAAATCTGTTGCAGACGTTACGCTCCACAGTGCAGTCTACTTCTGCTATTTTGACATCAGTCAAACCTGGAAATTGCTCCTTGGCAAGGTTCTCCCACGTCGGAGCCAAGTTCTTACAGTGACCACACCTAGAAACAAAAGAGAGATTTGTTTAGCAGATATACCTCCTAGTTTATCTCTCTCTACTGTCTTGCTGCAATAGCTGTAAGTTTAACTAGCTGCCTTTTCTATCCCCTAATGATTTACCCTCCAACTCCCTTGCACTATTATGTCAGTAAATGAGCTAAGAAAAGGAGTGATTTGATGTAAGTTAAGCACTGAAGTAGTTTCTGGCCTTCGTTAGTCTCATCTGGAATGGTACTCTGGATGTGGGTACATTAACATTCTACCCTACGGAGGAATACAAAGCCAAATAAAGACAAACACAGAGAGTATTTAGATGAAGGAAAAAAAAAAGATCATGTAGAAAAAAATGTGTTTTAATTAAGGCATAGAATGTCTGTAGTACAAATTAAGTTTTCAGGTTCCATATGCTAAAGCTACACAGCCCAACTTCTATTAGTTAAATGAGATTTTAATTTCGCTACTAAATTTCTTCCCATTCCTAATGGCCTTCTTGACCAAAATAGCATCTCCTGATGCTGGAAACTCAATTTTAATAGAGGCATTTGTCAACACAGATTCTGTTTTTTAAGGAACACTACTGTAGTTTAATGTACTTTTTCACTGAAGGTACTTTGAGGTTTAACCACTACCACTGTACTTTCAGGTAGGTCCACAATGAAATTGTTTGTTAGTCAATAAGCTTCACTTGGCAGATAAAATATGTGTGTGTGTGTGTGTGTGTGTGTGTGTGTATCAGGCCCTATTCTGATTTGCATTAGAGAATCATTCCAGTTATATCATCAGTAACACCAAAAAGCCTATTTCTATTTTATTCCCTTATGTCTCTACAGTAACATGAGAATGCAGTCCACAGAGTGCACACACTGAAACACTCGTGTCAAGAGAGAAAATGATACTGTAAAATGGCAGAAACTATAGTAAAGTATTAATTTTGTTTATATTTTGAACTTGGCTAAGCCAAGTTCATAACTTGAACTTCTTATGCCTTCAAGAATAATTCCCAAAGCACTTTAGAATTTAAAGCTGCATTGCTCATTCCATTCTAACCCAGCTGTACCTTAATTGGGTTATTAAAACAGCCCCGTAATTGCCTTGAGGCTGGATCGGGGCATTTACAAAAATAATGAAAGATGTCTCTGCAAAAGTTTTCTCAATGCAAGCCAGTGTATATTTAAACCACCTTGTTAATACACAGTGACAGTATAAAAGCATTTCTGACCATGCACAAAAAGTACTAAAGCAGGATGATTTTATGCTTACTATGCAAGTTAACATTAATATTTATCCAAAACTAACTGAAAGACAGAACTAGCAAGCAACATAACAG